AATTCTTTACCACCCAGAGGAAGAGATGTATGTACACTGGGGCAGGACTAGTAGAGTAAAAAGAGAACCACTCACTGGAGCCTTTACTCTAGCTACTCTGGTTGGCTTAGCAGGGACCGGTCTGGGAATAGCTTCTTTAACTGTACAGAATCAAGGCATGAATTCCCTGAGGGCAGCTATAGATGAAGACCTTGAGAGGATAGAAGCCTCTATCTCCCATTTAGAGAAATCTTTAACCTCACTATCGGAGGTCGTGTTACAAAACCGCCGGCGGTTAGATCTTATATTTCTCCAACAAGGAGGATTATGTGCGGCTTTAGGAGAAGAGTGTTGTTTTCACGCTGATCATATGGGAGTAGTTCGGGAATCTATGGCCAAAGTATGAGAAGGACTTGCCCTAAGGAAAAAGGAGCATGAAACTCAGGAAGGATTGTTTGAATCTTGGTTTAATAACTCCCTGTGGTTGACTACTTTGATATCTACTCTCTTAGGAGTAGATATCCTTATAATTATAATTATATTGATTTTTGGTCCCTGCATTATAAATAAGCTTATATCATTTGTAAAAGATTGAGTTAATACTATACAACTTATGGTCCTGAGACAACAATATCAGTCCTTATCTCCTGTAATACAGGAGGAAGATTCCTCATATGCATAACAAAAAAAGGGGGAAATGTGAGGCCTGAGTCCTAATGGCCTCCAGGTAATTCTTTAACCAGAAGCCTTTAGTGCCAGGGATTCTAACAAGTCCCACGCCTCAGGGCTTTTATCTCCCCTCCAGATTCCGGCACGTATCAGAGATTTACCTGGCTCCTGCAAGTCTCCCACGCATCAGGGCTTTACATCCTCCCTAGATAATAATTCCCTAACCAGACTTTAGGGCTGGGGGATTCCAACACAACCCCCCATGTCTCAGAGTTCTGCCCTAAACCCCTTAGCAACAACCAATCATCTGTACCCCTTTGCCCTGGTGCTACTCCATCCCATATTTTTCCTATAAAAATGTAATAGTAAGATGGCACGGGGTCTTTTGCCCAAGCTGCTGCGTCGGTGTAAGCAGGGACCCTAGCTCGAGCTAGCAAATAAACTTTCCTTTTGCTTTTGCATTATCATGTCAGTGGTGGCTTCCTCGCGCTGACACTCCTTTCTGAACACAGGCTCAACACTACTATACAGCCACAGTAGTCAAAACTGCCTGGTATTGGTTTAATGACAAATACATAGACC